AGACCCCAAACTGAAATTCATACCAACTCCATGCTCCTTGACCACACAGAGAAACAAGAACATCTTTCCACAGATGAACAGTTAAACAGCACCATTTGTGGTGCTGTAAGACAGGGCATTGAGACCTGGATACTCTCTTAATACCTTCATTATGACTGATGGATTTCAGAGGTGCTGAACCTTTTCTGATCTCCACATTTCCTCTTCTGAAAAAGTGGCAGTTGAACAAGACAGACTCTTTCCAGGATCCAGGTTCTTTCAAGTTATTTGAATAGATAATGAAATATTTAAAAATCTTACCCTGTCCCTTCAATTATGAAAATAGGAAACTGTCTCTATATGCATCCTTTTATCTTCCAAAGTAAGTTTAAATTTAAAGCCATTTAGGAAAAAAATAATGTTGCTAGTCTTCACCATGTACCTTGAAGGGGCCTCTTTACAAATAAATCTTAGCAGAAGTTTGGGCTATGATTTTCCTGAACTAATTCCTCATATATGTTGATATTTTCCAAATACCACTGAAAGATGACTCATGAATTTTCTCTTTATATACTTGTTATCATTACAGACTCTCAACTCTAACTGCTTCCAGTCTGAAGAAAAAGTTACATATAGACACATCATGATATATATATATATATATATATATATATATATATATATATATATATAAAATTCACTTCCTTGTTGTATAATATATATACAACAAGGAAGTGAATTTCCAAAGCCAGTTCTTATGTAAAGATGGTGACCTAAATTTGTGTTAAAATTATCCATTTCTGAATATGCAATGCCCATCTAATATGAAAAAGAAGGTAAAAAATTAAAACTGCTAGTAACTAAGACTGGGAATTTTTATAATGCTTCCAAAGATAAAATAAGTTAAAATATTTATTCATATTTATATTCAGTAGTAAACTATGGAATGCTTTTGTCTTATCTAATATTATTAACTATGTGAAAATATACATTTGATAATATTTTAAGATATTTCTGATGGCAAGATGCCCATCAAATTTATGTACTCGGAGCAAGTGGCTTTGACAAAGTGTGTCTGAATTGGCATTTCTGGATTCAGTGGAGGATTTGTAACTAATATCTTGATGCTCTGTTAGAATGACATTGAATTTGTTCTATTTTAGTAGGCACATCCAGATGTACCTTCATTTTTATTTTTTTCAATTTTATATGCTCTCCTTTGCTAAACTTGGAGATTTGAGTAATATTTTTGAAATGTTACCTCAAAATTTACTAGTGATTGGTCCAATTGAGTTCATTTTAGGAGAAATTGAAGAGTTTATGCTTTTCCTATCAGGTAGGTAAGAGATACACAAGTGGATGTATTTATTTCTGGGTAACAACAAGGTTTTCATTATTCTAAGTAAGAGCAGGTGTAGTTTACAAAATCAAAAGATCCAATGTAAACCAAAAGCTTTATTTTCTATTTATCAGTCCAAATTCTAATTGATTTGAAAATAAATAATTAAAACATGGCACCATAGTCTGACTGGGGCCCTACTAAATCTGTATAAAGCAGATATGGACTGCAGGTACGTGTTAGGTTACTGTGCTCAATTTGTGTTACAATTAAGTTAGAGTTTCTCTCCTTCACATCTTTTCTCCGATTGTTTTTGGCTTCTACCAAATGTTGTCTATACAATGTGAAGGACTTTGAAAGCAGCCACAGCCTGTTTTTCCCTTTCGTGTCTACTCTGCAGTATTTCCAGCAGTGAAATTTCAGGTAAACTTTCTTTTCTTCGCTCATATGTTGGATTTTTGCTTTCCTTTGATGATTGATCAGTCAGATTTGATGATTTGGGTTTGGGGATGGTCTTAGCATATTCCAAAGCCTAAAAGCATAAAGATAAAATTTTACTTAAAATGAGAAATAAATAAGTCCTAGATTTCTTAAATTGAAGGCAGTTTTATGAAATGTTTATTTATAACATAAGTAGAGATGATTGCCACAATATGGGAGGAAATGGAAATCAAATGGAAAACACAAACAAGGCAAGTTTAAACACCCAGTTTAAACAAAATAAATTAGCCACAAAACATTATGGTGTGGGCATAAACCGAGGAGTGGGATAGCTGGGTCAAGTGGTGGTTCTATTCAAGTTTTCCAAGGAATCTCCATACTGCTTTCCAGGTTGGTTGCACTAGTTTGCAGTCCCACCAGCAATGTATGAGTGTGCCTTTTTCCCCACATCCTCACCAACACTTATTATTGTTTGTAATAGCTGTCATTCTGACTGGAGTGACATGAAATCTTAAGAGTAGTTTTGATTTGCATTTCTCTAATTGCTAGAGATGTTGAACATTTTTTCATATATTTGTTGATCAGGTGTATCTATTCTTTTATGAAGTGTCTGTTCATTTCCTTAGCCCATTTATTGATTGGATTTTTTCTGGTGTTAAAGATTTTTGAGTTCTTTATATATCCTAGAGATTAGTGTTCTATCTGACTTGCATGTGGCAAAAAATTGATTTTTTTTGCCACATGCAAGTCAGATAGAACACTAATCTCTAGGATATTGATTCCCCAAATGTAGGCTCTCCATTCAAAGCGATCCTTAGCAAGAAGAGTGAAGCAGGTGGCATCACTATACCAGATCTTAAACTATACTACAGAGCAATAGTAACAAAAACAGCATGGTATCGGCACCAAAAGAGACTTGTAGACCAATGGTACAGAATACAGGACACAGAAACAAACCCACATAAATACATTTATCTCATACTAGACAAAGGCGCCAAAAATATATATTGGAAAAAAGATAGCGTCTTCAACAAATGGGAGAACTGGAAATCCATATGCAACAAAATGAAATTAAACCCCTATCTCTCACCTGCCGCGTCTGGCTGGGCAAAATAACAAGGGGGGGGTGACAAGCAACTTGTGAAGGTTGATACAGCGGGAGCCGCTTTATTACGGGACAGAGAAGTATATATACCCAACTAATTACACACAGCTTAACTTAATTAACATAAACTAGATACAGCAGTCAGTCATTAAGGAATCTCCACATCTCAAGGGCTCGCTGGCATTACTTCACAAACCACTCCCTCTGGCAAAGTGCCAGGCACCATCTTGACTTGTCTGTGACACTCAACACTCACCATGCACAAAACTCAAAGTGTAAAGTGGATCAAGGACCTAGGAATTAGAATAGAGACCCTGCACCTAACAGAAGAAAAAGTAGGCCCAAATCTCTATCGTGTCAGATTAGGCCCTGACTTCCTTAACTCATAGCTTAAGAAATAAAATCAAGAATCAATAAATGGGATGGATTCAAACTAAAAAAGCTTCTTCTCAGCAAAAGAAACAATCAGTGAGGTGAATGGAGAGCCTACATTTGGGGAATGAAAATTTGTACTCTGTTGTGTACTATGAATTGAAATGCATTCTGCTGTCATATATAACAAATTAGAATCAATGAATCAATCAATCAATAAAATATTATAGTGTGGGGGAAAAAGTTGGATAATGATGCATACAGCTATTGTGTCTTCTGGAAGTTTTCTTCACAAAACTGAGTGTCAAGTGTTTGAAAATAGGTCTCTCATGTGTTGGATCTACTTAGTGTCTGGCAATCTTATTAAAATCAGCTTCTGGTAGGGATATATTATCAAAATTTTGTACCTAAGGAGGACTAGTTATAGCTTGAGACTAAAGATATCACAATAGCTGATGTAAAACTGAGCCTCCTTTATTAGACCCATTATTCTTATTCCTAGGTTCTTAGAACTCTGAAAATCATTACTATATCTATAGAAATCTAGATGCTGGAAAAAAATGCAGTTTTTTTTTCAGTGCTGTCAGTTCTGTCCAGTGTTATGATAAAAATGAGACTACTAAATATGATTTCTAAATCTGACTTTGTATCACTTTTGTATTTTAATTAGAGTTCATGCTGAAATGTGAAAGAATAGGTCCTATGAGGGGGAAAACATTCTAAAACACAGAAAAAAGTTCATACTTCTCATGTATGTGGGTGAAATATACAGGAATTTCTAATTATAGATTTGTTGCCTTGAAGCTCTTCATGAAAATATGACAGATTGGAGAAAAAAGAAGTGGCACCATGGAAACTCAGTCGAGAGGACTGAGGTCTTCAAGGTCTGAGGAAGAAGGCAAAAATAGAAAATACCCTGGTCTGTGAAAGAGAACAGGAAGTCCACATTCCTGGAGGCTGCACAAGATCACTTGGCTCTCTTGCAAAGGGTGCCTGTCCTTCCTGGGAAGGGGCCCATCAACTGAGGTACAGACCTGCCCTGGGGAGCTCTGTGACTCCACAGCACAATTTACTCAAACCACGACTCCTGGTTGGATGACATCTGAGAGGGAGAACATTCTGTATTTCTTGAAATCATTTTTTCTCCCTAGAGGAACCTGTATATTACAATCCATATAGAAGAGTGTAGGAAAATGAACGTGAGAAAAACAATGAAGGATTTTTCTTTGACACATGAGAATTAAGAGACACTAATTCCTTTGGAGCTTATTTCAATAATAGAGAATGAAACTGACAATTAGGATTCCAAGTTTCTTCTAAGAAATCACCTTATTAATTTTTATGTGTGACAAACTTAAAATACTATACTTGGAAGGAAAGATGTGGAGACAATGAACTTTAGGAAAATAAAAAGGTTAACCTTACAGCACTGAGTGTGAGCGCATACACATTTGTGTGTGTGTGTGCGTGCGCGTGTGTGTAGACATGCATGGACTGTATTGCTATCACATCAATATCTACAGATGATGGGCAGCTGCAGGAATGGCAGCTGCTAAAATGCATCTTGTGTGCCAAGTTACATGGGCTGGGGTTGTGGCTCAGTGGTAGAGCACTTGACTTGCACATGCAAGGCCCTGGGTTCGATTAAATAAAATGAAGGTATTGTGTCCAACTATAACTGAAAAATAAATATTTTTTTAAAAAAGTAACAAAAGCTTTCTTTTAATTTGGATCGAAAAAAATGTCTTGATGAGAATTTCTTACCTTCTGCCGAGGAATGGCTGATTTATTTTCAGTTTTTGCTGTTTGTGGTTTGGACAGAACAGACAGCGTCTTCATGTTGTATTCCTGTACTTGTTTTGCATATTCTTTTTGCTGTATTAATTTTTGCATCTGTTCAGAGAGACAGGGTTGTGATGAATCACAGATCCTGATGACCCTCTATGCTCTCTATTTAGAGTGACACTAGTTTAAGTGAGCTGGGCATATTCAATTGGCAGCACAGGAGACATGGGATTGCCACATGCAAGGTGATGGCAGTGACCTGGTTAAGCTAATGTTTCTCCTAGAGAGCCTCTGTGATGAGGAACATCACTGCAATAGCTCACTCAGTGTTCCCTTAACAGAGGCTAAATCACATTCAGTCCCTTCTTTGTTGCATTTACCCAATTTATTTTCATTTTTGCTTCCAACTTTGAACTATACTCTCTTTTTATGCCTGAGTGCAACTGCAGTTAAAGCACATTAAATGAAGATCTCCTTTCACTAGAGGAAAGAGAATAAAATGGATGCACTTCTCAGGGGCCAGTGAAGTTGTACCTAAGTGTCTTCTCTGTAGCCACTTTTCAAAATTATCCAGATAATTCTTTCTGGAAAGACCAACAATCATATAACATAAACATTCCCTTTCCCATACATGCATGTGTCCTGCTTCTCTGTGCAGACCTTCCAAACAAACTGAAGGGCAGGGGTGCATAAAACAATGCTGGGTGAGTGTTTTCATATGATAGTTAAAAAGTGTGTCTGGGCTTCTCTTTCATTACCCGTGCTGTTTCTGAAGGGTCTGTATTCAGTGTCAGGCATTGCATAGGGGCTCGATTCTGGGGATCATCTCAATGCAGTTTGGTGAAAAGACAGATGGGTGGAGTCAGGCCTGAAAAAAACTTACGTACAACTCACTCACTTTTTCTCTGACAGATTCCAAGTCAGGTCCTAGGCCTCCAAGCTTCACATCTCTTTTTTGATAACCTTTCAGCTTGGAACTCTAAAAACAACATAGAAACAGTTTCTTTAAGAACTTGTGCTCTTCTCAGCAATAATAGGCACATAAGGGAAGAAGGAAAGTAAAGAATAGACGCCTGTGTGGATGGGGACATTTCTTGGTAACTTTTTCCATTTTAATGGTAGTAAGTTGGTAATAGTCTCTTAGGGAATTTGTAGCTGGTTAGCTAACATGTTATGACTTATCCACTTTTATAATAAAGAAAAATAAAGTTATGAAAATTATAAATAAAAAATTTAAAGCTTGTTGTTATTATTTTGATACTGGGGACAGACCCAGGAGCACTTAACCACTGGCATTTTACTATACCCCTTTTTGTTTTTGATTTTGAAATAGGGTCTTACAAAGTTGCTGAGGCTGGCCTCAAGCCTGCAGTCCTCCTGTCTCAGCCTCATGAGTTGCTGCGATAACAGGTGTGTGCCACTGTGTCTGGTTGTTGTTTGTTATTAATGTTTTTAAGAAAACATATACTTTACCACTTTGCCACTGCTGCTGTTCCTATGATGTCAAATCTTGGGCAGTTTGCTAAGCCAAATGACTTCCCTGGACGAGGCAATTTAAGCACATCAGATGAGCACATTGCTTCAAAAAGAGGGAACCCGTTCAATGAATTTACAGTACTGCATGTTATGGATAAGATAGAAGAGAAGCAAAGAAAGTAGAAACTTTAAAATTTTACTATTGATTGTTGGGGAAAAAAAGATAGTTTTAAGGAAAAAACCAACTATAATCAATTCATAATACTCAAAAGAAAGTTAGCATTTAAGAGTCTTGGCGAGGACCACTTAGAAATTCATTCTATTCAATCAGTATGATTTTTGATATTTTGAAGGACACACAGAATTTTACATTGTAACTCCTATTAGTATTGCACACCTGAGAGGACTGAGCAACAGAGTCAGGCAATTATTAGATGCTGAGCACAATAGTAGGCAGGAAAAGCCCCAGTGTTCTCTGGACCACAGGGCAGATGAAGATATTCTCCCAAACTGCAGCTTTCAACACTAAAACTGAAGTTTAGATTTGCTACTTCCCCTTGTGGGGAAACCAAATCCTTATATTTTTCAGTTCATTAATTAATTTGGTTTCCTTTCTGGGAGGGGCAGGAAAAACAATACCAAAGAGATGGTTTGTATGACAGGGATGATTTTAGGTTCATATAAATTTGTGCTTGGAATGGAGAAAAAAATAACCATCTCAAAGAGGACATGTTCTGTGCTGACTGTGCATGATGTCAGTATCAGGCACAGCATCTTCATAAAACGTGGATGTTCCTATTGATTATGACATGAAGTCCTACGATAGACAATTTATCTAGTGAGCCCTTTTCTAAAATAGAATTTGGAAAAGATAATTAAAATGCCAGAAAAATATTTCACCATATGAGATATAATTTCTGCATAAAACTCGACAATCTTAAGAAGAAACTGATGTAAACTTGTGGTACCAACCATTATAAAAAGGTTTCCTACTCACAGTGATCTAGTGTTCACCCCAGACAGCATTTCGATTAGCTTCTTCATCACCACCTCCCATTTTAGAGACTCAAAAGCCAAATATGGTTGTGCCTCATAATCCAAGGGGGGACAGTTCTAGAACATTTCACAGATAACAAAATCCAAGGATATTCAAGTATCTTATATGAGGTGGTAGAGTGTTTGGATATAACCTATACATCTCCTCTTGTGTACTTTCATTTCTAAGTTTGCTTATAACACCTAACACAATGTAAATGCTAGGTATAGACCTGTTATATTATATGTATGGTTTAGGGAATGACAAGAAAACAAAGTCTGTACATGTGCAGTACAGATGCAATTTTTAAAAAGATATTTTCAACCAGTGTTGAAAGGACATTTCAAAATCATAAATCTTCTTTAAGAGAAGCCACTCCCAAGCAAAACCACTATGGCTGCTTCCTGTCCATTTTATCCTTCTGTACTTTTATGAAATTGTCCACACTTGCTGGGTGTGGTGGTGTTCAGTAATCCCAGTGACTCAGGAGGCTGAGGCAGGAGGATTGCAAGTTCAGGACCAGCCTCCACAACATAGGGAGACCCTGTCTGGAAAAAAAAATATTTAAAAAAGGGCTGGGGATGTATCTCAATGGTAAAGTGCTTCTAGGCTCAATCTCTAGTACCAAAATAAAATAAAATAAAATTGTTAGTTTTTCTTTAACCATTTCAGCATTACACTGTATTTTCCACTAAATGGTCTTCAAAAATGTGACTTTTAGGCATAATATTCTTCAGTCTAGTTATAGTTAATCGTTTAACTATTTCTGTAGACACTGAACATTTATAATGCCATGAGGTTTGTGGGATACTTTTTTTCTTTGAGTAAATTAATAGAATTGTAATTATTAAGATAAAATGAACATGTTTAAGGCCATAGGTAGCATTTCCATTAGCAATGGAGTAGTAAGATAGCTGTTTTTGTCAAAACCTTGATTATAATGGGTATTATTACACTTAAGAACCTTTAGTAATTTTTAATAGGTGAGTGAACTCAGAAAATTAATATACTTGCATCTGTGAATTTGTTCTTCTCACATATGCCCTCTGCATCATTGTTTTGTAATCACTAAATCACTATTTGCCAGAGTCAACCAATAATGAAAAGGAAGAAGAAAAAATCCCACTCATCTCCAAGTCATAAATCCAATTTGTCCAAAGATGATGAGAAAGAAATGATCAGTGCCCAGAAATCTCATCCTTAGTCTGAAGCAGCTTAACTTTTAATCATTCCACTGACTCACAAAAGACACATTGTGAAGCATGAATAATTGCTCACTGACCTCCAGCCACAGTTCTAAACATCACCTCAAATAATATCTTAGCAGAGAAAACCAGAGCCTAGGGCCTAGCACTGCACATACATATCACATGGAGGGAGAGCATGTGGCCCAAACAGGTCATTCCCCAGTGCCGATCCCTTTACAGGATGAAGTGCCCTTAGCAAAGGAACAATTCTCAAGGGACCACGGTGGCTCCTCCTAGCGAAGCTTGTTCTGGGTGACTGGCAATGAAAATCCTGGATTTGCTTCAGTTTGGCGCAAGTAATCTTGAACTGGTTCTCAGCACTGTGATTCTGTTTGATCTCTCTTCATCTAAGTCTTTTTTAACAGCTTTATTGAGAAATAATTCACATACCACAAAATTCACCCATTTGAAGTTGTACAATTCAATGGTTTTTCAAGTTTTTCAATGGTTCACCAAGAGGTGTGAAACATCACCACAATCCAATTTTAGAACAGTTTCATCACCTTAAAGAGAAACTATTGTACCCAACAGCACTCACTCCCTATCCCCTCCCCCTCTACTCCTAGGCAACCACTAATCTACTTTCTGTCTCTTCAAAAGTCTGTTATAGAAAATAATCCCCAGAATTCACTTTGATTTACCTCTCCTTGGCTTTTACAAGACTAAAAGGTCATAGTAGCACAATGCCAAAATAATCAACATCATCATCATCATCATCATCATCCAGCACTGATAACCCCATTAAGTCTCTGAACATAGGGGGACAAATTAGAAAATACAGGCATGCTCTCAACAAACCCTTGACTGCAGCTAGTCTTTGCATAAGACACACAGCTGACTTGGGCCCACCCCTGCCCTATCCCTCCAACAGAGCAGACAGTGGCAAAGGGCTTTTCTGATGGAAGGTTTCTACCAGTAATTAATTGCAATTGTTCTCAAGCCATACCAGAACAGTGTTTTTTTTTTTTTTTTAAAAAAAACTGAAAACTCAGAATACACTGAGCCTGAATTGAGAATGACATTGACTGTTCCATGAGGACTTGTTTTAACTCTGAAATATACCTGCTGTGAGGGACACTGCAGGGTTATTCTCCAGAAAATTCCTTGGATGTGTAAGTGTGAGAAAGTTACTGAAAAACAGGACAAAAGACAATGCCTCAAATACTCGGTAACAGCAAGAGAAGGAAATTTGCTCTGTGGTTGCTAAACTTAATCCAAATAAACCTCTTCTTTGAAGCAGTTAAGCAGCAATGCCCAGATTGTCTGTGACAACAAACTCATGAGTTAATTACTGCAGCTCAACAGTCAGCTGCCGGAGACCGCTCTAAGCAGTTATTTTGTGGTGGGCTGTAACACCGCACGTATATTTTTATACTGTTTGTCATCCTTTGCACAATGTTAATCTCTTAGTGGCTGAGGTCTGTGTTGAATGGTAGGGACAATGGCTGGTATGCACGAGTCAGCCACAACTGATCTGCCAGAAGAAGGAGGGGGCTTGGGCCTATTATCTTTACAAATCCTCAAATTTTTAATGTGATTCAGGGTGATTCCCTTGGAAACCACGAGATTTGATGTGACTAATAAATGGGCATGACCTGGATAATGATTCCTCCTGTCTGGTGCCCTGGCTACCTGCTGTCCTAAACAAATAGCTCAGTTCTAAGTCATTTTAGTTTCTGGAATAGCTTAAAGCACAAAGAGAGCTTCTGTGTATTTGTCAGATGCAGGCTGAAGGTATTGACTGAGAAAAATGGATACATAGGGATTGTAAAATTCTGGACAGAAAGCAGGAAGGGAGGGATTTTCCCAGTTGGAAAGTGTGTTTGGGAAGCAATAACTAGAAATCCTCCTTCCTCTTTCCTACCTTACCATGCTCTTAGATTTCTGATGATGCACACTGTCACCAAGGTACTTCTTCTACCTTTTCTCAGTAAAACATAAATTCAAATTAGAGAAGGAGGAAGAAAAAAGAAACTAACATTTGGCTGATGTCTATTCTTTGCTAGGAAATAAATTTTAATATACTATTTTACTTAACCACTCCAAATCTACTAAAAGAAAAAGTAATTCTGATTATGTATATGAGGAATTGGGGGCTCAAGTAAATGAGTCACTTGCCTGAATCCCAGGGTATTAGGTAATAGGGCTGAGACAGAATTTGGCAATGACTAAGTCTATGACTGCCACTAAGTTCTCTCACTGAGAACTGAGTTTAAAAATGCATCTTCAACAATAGCCCAAAGCTGGACTTTGAACGGACAGGGTAAGCAGTCTGCTGAGGTAGAGTGTTTGAGCTACACTTTAGGCCCTGGTAATCTTTGGCTCTGGAGGAAACAGGCTACCTTCGTCTTCACTGTGTGTTGGTTCCAACCCTCTAAATGCTTTTCCCCATAGGAAATAATAATATGATGATGTCCAGCTTCCTAGTCTGGTCTAAAAAACCATAGGAATAATTGAACACAGTACTAATTGTACCTTTGAACCTAACTACTGAGCAATGACATTTCTGTGGGAAAAGAGTGACTGCAGTGCCAGAAACACACGTCTCCTTATTTACAGTGTAACTGTGGATTCTCCTAACTTCAAACTAGCTTCAAACTGGGGATTCTCCAGCTCCGTGCCTGGGCAGGGACTGTGGACCCCAGAAGAGCAGAGGATATGGGGGGATGGAGTTAAGACAGGGTGTTCGAAGAGCCTCTGAGTGTGGGTGCGTGAAGGAGCTGGGCTGAGCACCCTAGCGCTGTGAGTGAGCTGAAGACCTGGATGGAGAACAGAGAGGCTGCAAGGCAGGAGCTGCAGGCATGAGCTGGGTCATCCCTCAGTACCAAGCCATCCTCCTCTTCTTCTCTAATAATATGACTGCTGTTCACTTTCAACCAGTGTCCCCTTTTTCTCTTTGAGACCACTCCTTTTCTTTTTCTCGAAGAAGTCCACATCATAACTCTGTTGACTTCAAAGTCCTGTAACTTCTCTGTACATCTTACAGCTGCCCTATGCACCATAACCTGAGAGATTTTTTGTAAAATACAAATCTGACCATGCTTAAAGTTCCTCAATGGTCCCACTCTGGCCTACAGAATAAGGCCCTTCTTTGAATGAACAACAGAATCCTCTTAAGACTTGCCCCTAAGTCTCTGCCTGCATCTCTCCACACCCCATGCTTCTCAGCTTCAGTCACAGCAACGTGAAGTGCCTCTACCTTCCTGACATGCGCCATACAAAAACAACAACAACAAAAAAAAAACAGGTCCATCAGTATTATCAAAATTAAAAAGTTCCTGGGTAATAACCAGTGCCTTCTTACCTTAATGCTGCTCCTTTTCCTGTGTTTTTTTCCTTTTTCCAGTTGAAACAGATAGCCTTCAGAATTGCTACGGGTAATTTTCATTTGGTTTCTTTGGCTTCTCTCTGGACTGAGTTGGGATTCACTTTCTACCCTTGATGAGATGGGGGGGAGCATGATGCTAGAAGAGGACCCTTTACTGGGCTGCACGTCGGTGGGCTGCACGTCGGTGGGCTGCACGTCGGTCAGCTGCACCAAGGCTTGCTGATGCTGCTCCATTATCTGAGTGAGCCGTGAATCTGGGGAAGCTCTGACAGGTTGGCTGTCCGAGGAAGGATGGAATTTCCTTTGGAAAAGAACACACATTTGTGACTAAAACTTGAATACATAAGACCGCTAACAGTAAAGTTCTTATGAGCCATTAACTTGATGTATTTATCACTCCTCAACTCAAATGAATTAATTTGAGCTAATTCACTCATTAATGTATTAATTTCTTAAAATCTTCTTTTTCCATAGGATATTGTAACTCTGCTTAGAACTTTCACTTAGTGCATTCAGAATAGAAGTATATCAGTTTTAGAAGTCGAAGAGTTTCCCACTACAAAAATACCAAGAAATGTTGGATTAAATGAAACCAATATCCTTTATGTACACAGTTGAATTTGTATGAGAGGCAGGAAATCTCCAGGGAGGAAAACCAAAATGAACTAAAGTCAGAGCAGATTCTGGATGAGCTGAAGGTATGGCTTTCTTTGTGAGCTGTTTGGGTTTAAGGGCGTCAGTTTTAATCCAAGATATGTGAGATTTGGGGCCAATGTGAACGTAGTTCATCATCTAAAACCCTAGTACATAAAGGGACATGATCTACCAAGTGTGAGGGTTAGCAGACATACACACACACACACACACACAAATAGTAGTAATAGACTTCTGCAAGCTTTAGATAATAGAATATGTTAGATAGCATTCATAAAGTATGTATGAAATGATTGGAAACATGAAAGAAGAAATCAAAATTCTGAGAAATATATTTTTAAAAACTTATTTTGAACAAAGAACAGGGAGGTTTTACTTATAACCAAGTAGAAATTCCAGACATGAAAAATACCATTATTTAATTTTAAAATCCAACAGAAAAATTAAGAGGGCTGGGGATGTGGCTCAAGCGGTAGCGCGTTCACCTGGCGTGTGTGCGGCCCGGGTTCGATCCTCAGCACCACATACAAACAAAGATGTTGTGTCCGCCGAAAACTAAATAAATAAATATTAAAATTCTCTCATTCTCTCTCTCTCTCTCTCTCTCTCTCTCTCTCTCTCTACCTCCCTCTCACTCTCTCTTTAAAAAAAAAAAGAAAAATTAAGAAAGCATATTGGACATAGTTGAAAAGGAAATTATTGCACTGGAAAACCTACCTGAGAAATTTCTCAGAAAGAAGCAGAGAGACAACAGGTAAAATAAGAAACAGAGTTAAAACACACAAAGCCTAGAATCAAAGAATTTAATACATATCTACTTGGTTGTTCCTGGAAAAGGAAGTAGAGCCAATTTGGGAGATGCAATATTCATAGGAAAACAGGTGATCATTTTTTCAAAATTTATAAAAAGAGATGATCCTCAGATTTAGGAATCACAGAAGGTATTCAAGTAGAACTAAAAATTTCATTCCTATATACATCATAGTAAAACTTCTAAACACCAAAAACAAAGAAGAGGTTTAAAAGCTAACAAGAGAAATAAAGACAAAGTAAAAAACAAAAGGAATGATAATTACATTGACAAAAGACTTTTCAAGGCAACACAGAAACCAGTAGACAAAAAAATAGTGCTTTTAAAAAGTTGAATTCTTGGGGCTGGGGATGTTGCTCAAGCGGTAGCGCGCTCGCCTGGCATGCGTGCGGCCTGGGTTCGATCCTCAGCACCACATACAAACGAAGATGTTGTGTCCACCGAAAACTATATATATATAAAATAAATATTAAAATTCTCTCTCTCTCTCTCTCTGTCTCTCTCTCTCTTTAAAAAAACAAAAGTTGAATTCTTTACCAGGTTAAACTATAACTCAAGATTGTAAGAGAAAGGAATTTCAGGTAAATCCCAGTGACATACACTTGCTGAAACAACTTCTAAAGAAAACAGAATAAAATGAAAGAAAGAATGTGAGGCAAAGAAATTAATAAACAATTTGGTTAACTCTAAAACACCATTTACTCTCTACAATAATAAAAATAATGACTAATTTTTGAGATATAAAGTGCTAGACAAGTTGCTAGACTAAGCAGGAGATTGTACTTTTAATGTAATGACCCTGAACATGTCTAGAAAAGAGCAGAAATATTAATTTAACATGAGGCAAGTTAAATATGTAAGTTGTGTGTGTGTGTTAATAGAATAGAGTGCTGGGTATGGTGGTACATGCCTGTAATCCCAGTGACTCTGGAGGCCTAGGCAAGAGGATAGTGAGCTAGAGACCAGTCTGGGCAACCTAGTGAGATCCTGTCTTGAAATAAAAGAAAAAGGCTGGGGGGGGGGGAATGTAGCTCAGTGGTAGAGCAACCCCCCCCACCCCCCCGCGTTTCCATCCCCAGTAGCCACCCCCCAATATTTACCCTCACCCGCCACAAGAGTATCTGCAAATAAGTAGAAGAAAAAAGTAACAAAGATAATTCTCTAAGTTTAATAGAAGAAAAAAAGTAAAAAGAAGCATGGCGAGTGTAGGGTAATTAGAGTGGTCAAATTAAGGTGGTAGAAACAGATCCACCTGTATAAGTACCATGATAAATGTAAGCAGTTTAAAGTCACTAGATACAAGTGAGTTTATGATTGAATAAAGAAACAAATTACAACAACACACTGTTTTTTAAAAGAAAGGCTTAAGATAGAATCATACTGAAAATTTTAAATATGATAGAAAAAATGTACTAGATTCAATACTAATTATAAGAAAGTGAATGAAGCTATATTAATATCAGCCAACATAAACTTTAATCAAATAGCATTATTGGAAATAAAAATATTCATTACATCATGATCAAAAGAAGAATTTGCCAGGAAAATATACAATTATTAACCTGCATGTACCTGATCATAAAACTTCAAAATACATAAAATGAAACTAATAGAATTATGAGGTGACATTAACAATTCTTTTTTTTTTAAGCACTGGGGATTGAACCCCAAAGCTCTCACACATTCTAAGTAAGCACTCTACTATTGAGCTGTGTCTCCAGTCCTTTTGTTGTTGTTAGGGACAGGGGCTCTTTAAGTTGCCCAGACTTGTGTTCCTCCTGAAAGGAACCTCCCAAGTTGTTGGGATCATAGGCATGTGCCACCACAGCCAAATATAGGGAAATGTCAATTTACCAGGGTCAGAAACTAATATATCAAACATGGAAACCTAATCAGGCTTCAGAAGATTTTAATAACATATGTAACAAGCTTTCCCTAATTTAAATTACAGTCATGTGCAGCATAACAAGGTATTGATCAACAACAAACTACATGTAAAGAGGTAGTCCCAGAAGATTATTTCACCTAGTAACAGCATAGCCATTTTATGTGTCAGGACACTTCAATGTCTGTGAAAAGATAGAATAAAAAGATTTCTCAGAACATATCCCCACTGTTAAGTGGTAAATGAATGTATACAGAACGATGTGCCATAGAACTGCAGAAATATCTTCTTTTCAAACACTTTTGCTGAAAATACTCTTCACTTGGGCCTATAGATGTTGCATGGATGAGTGGAATCTGATGAAATGGCTTGGCATCTCTGTCTTTGTATTGTGTTTGTCCCCTTTGCTATCTTAACCCTTTGGTCAGATTCTACTCACCTCTGCATGCAAACATTGCTCACTGGAGCTGGTATGACTTTTCTTCTGCCCCACCCTTTCACCAGCTGCAGCATCCAAAGGACCTAAAGTCCTTCAACCTGTCATAAGGCCAAGACTGAACCACAGTACCAGGATGTTTGCACATAGGATGATGACACCAGCTGCAAGAATAACTCAGAAGTTCCTGGGACAAGTTGACCGTTACCATGTGGTCCAAATCTCATGCAAAGAGAAACTATGTCCCTGGCTAGTGGAAAATTACTGGTCTTTGGCCCACCCCAGAAAATCAATAAGAAGCTTTCATCTCCCTTTCTTCATAGAGCAGCTTGGTTCCCCGTCTATCAGTGCTGTTTCCTTTCAGGTGAAGCCACATTAAAAAACTCTGCTTGTGTGTGTTTGCAATATTCAGCTTGGTCTCTTCTCTACTGTTTCTATGCCAAAAGATCCTTCCTCCAGTAACAAGAGCATAGGAAGGCTGGAAGCAATAATTGAGGAACTTTCACAGAAAGTAGGGCAAAATAAATAAGAAATGAACAAGAGAGTAAAGAATATCGTATGAACAGTCCTGGAAAAACACCTGTGAATAACAGGAAAGAAGAGAGCTGGAAGGAGTGACCCACGAGAGGATTCAAGACATTTCCCAGACTGAAAAGACACATGTATCCAGGCTAAAAGGCCCAGAACAATCTATGAAAATAGACCTAAACCAAGGCATGTTATTATGAATTCTCATTTTATGGAGAAAGAGAGAAGATCCTACAGCTTCCAAAGAAAAAATAGACAGGTCATATATAACAACGCCGGAAGAAAGAAGACGACTGTAAGGAGGAAATGATTTTCAATCTAGAATTCTACAACACCTTGCCAGCTATTAGGAGCAAGGGCAGAACATAGTCAATATCAATCATACCTCCTAAGAAGTAGAGGATGTTCTCTACCAGAATGAGAAAGGAAGCTAAGAAAGGGAAAGAGAGTAGATGGAGAAAATAGGAGGGTCAAGAATGGAGAAAAATGAAGGGCATCCCCATGATGAAGTGAAGGGAGGTTCTGCAAGGACAACACGGGCAGAGGATGGCCATGGGGAAAGGAAGTGCCGCGCAGGACACTGGCATGCTGAGAACTGCTTGTCACCCTATTGTCTGCATCACACCATGTTTCTAATAGGAAGAAAATATCAGAGGATGTACTCAAACAAAACAAGGAAAATCTGCAATCTTGAAAAAGGGATTCTGACCAGAAGGAAACTCAAAGGGAATTCTTCAGTTTTGTAGCAAGTCTAGCAAGATGAAGAATTTAAAGGTGTCTTATAAAAGGCTATGTCCAAGATAGAATAAAGAATCTAATGTATTTGCATCTGTGAACATTTGTATTGAGAGACTAGGAAAGTGTGGGAACAATGAGCCACATGTACAAATCAAAGTAAGCCAAAGCAAACAAACAAGTCAAGGCAATTATGAACTTTTGGAAAAAAAATTTAAAATGAGGCATAGTCATAGACCAACACCAGATCATGCATTATAGATGCATTGGCATAATAACAAAACCACTGAATATTGATCTAACCAAAAATTGCAATGTAACTCCCATTACTGCAGAATGATTGAAGAGAAGCACATAATGAAGGTGATGTCAGGAAGCTCAGTCCTATCAGAATAGAAATCAATAAAATCACTCAAAATAGCTGAAATTGAAGTAGAAAAATATAACGATAAATAAATATAACTGAGAATAGTGGCAAATACTAGAGGAAACAATAAAAGTCAAAAGGGGTTACTAATATTGAGGATTTTCATTATTATACCAATATAAATATTATTCATAGCCAAACACTGTGGAGGGGATCACTGGGGAGCAAAAGCAGTGGATTGCCAAGTGACTAAGTGTCACCTGACTTTTTAGTATATGTGCATGCACCATCTTGGTTGAAAAATTAATGTAAAAAACAGGGCTGGGGATGTGGCTCAAGTAGTAGCGCGCTCGCCTGGCATGTGTGGGGCACTGAGTTCGATCCTCAGCACCACATAAAAATAAAATAAAGATGTTGGGTCCACCGAAAACTAAAAAATAAATACTAAAAAAAAAAAACAAGAAATAAAAAGACATGATTAAAGATTTAAGAGGTTGAATAATATGAAAGTACATTTTTTATTTGACTGGTTTTTAATTTTTAAATGCCTTAAAATGTATTCTGACGTAATGTTTGAATTTAAAAGTTAATGAAGTAAAACAATACCCCCCTCTCCTGCCCTTGGGTGTGTTGAAGATGCACCAATATTCTCCTTTGACATTCTCCTTTGTCTCCTGAGGACTATGTTCCACTTCCTTTCCGTACTCAACTGCAGGACAATTCAGTAAGGCACCCAAGCTCTGTTGCTGAACTCACACACTGTGCTTCACTGTACGTGGACATACATTTCAAAAGGGCTAAAAATAAAAATAGGGAGAAAACCACCTTTCATAGTTGGCAGAAGAGGATAGGCCTGATGAATTTCCAGGGGTACTTGGTCTTACACAGGAGCTACGAGAAGTACAGTTGAGCCCACAAGTGCAGTATTGCACCATGAGATCTAGTAGAGCTCAAAACAGCCCAAGCATGCCCCAAGTCACCACACACTGAGGATATGACAGGACATTTTAAACTTCGTAAAAGTAGATTTTTTTTTTTTTTAGAAAGTATATTTATCAGATGATCAAAGAAGAAATGGAAAGCTTGTAAAGACTTTTAGTCATTCTAGTAAATGAATCAGGAGTCTAAAATCTGCCCACAGCCAACAATCACAAAAACAAAACCAAATAAAAAAACACCCATGTTCCCAGTAGTTGTACAGGAAAGTTCTATCAAACCTTCAAGTAACAGACCATCCCAACTGCATATAAGTGTATGTATAACTCAGACGTATAAAGAGGGCATAGTTCTTAACTCATTTCATAAGGCTGGCATAACCTTGATAACACAGCAAGGCTCATGGCAGATAGGAAAATTATAGCCAATCTTACTTCATGCAGTGAATGTTAAATCCCAAACAAAGTGCTAGCAAATCTAATCAAGCAACTTATTAAAAGTACATTATGTCAAGTTAACCTCAGAAACAAAAGGATAGTGTAACATTAGAAAATCTGTTAATACATTTCATTACATTAAAGGATTAATGGAGAATATTTTTCAACTGATACATACTACTTATGATAAAAATTCTTTGCAAAGAAAATCAAGAATGGAATAGAAAGGAGTTTTCTAGTTTCCTATTTACCAAAACCTAAATATTATTTTTCACACAAAAATGTCAGAAGCAATCCTTCTGAAGCTGTCTCTTCCAGAAAGCTAACTTGGATTGGAACCTTATTAAACATACATTTCATGTTATCAAATGTAGCACTTAAATGTCCTCTGATTAATTCAGATATATAAAATTGTCCCCCTATTTTGAAAGTAAGCTCCTTGAGGGTGCCTCATGCATAAAACTTCTTTTGTACTTTCTACAGCATTTTAGCTTTATATTCAGTCCATGTCAGGTATACAGAAAACATGTTTGATTAAAGAATATCAAGAAAGGGCTCCTAGAGTGACTTAAAAAATAACTTTCTTTTTCCTGTCTATAGAAGTAATTCATCTACATTGTAGGGTACTTGTACAATTTCACAAAATATAAAGGAGAAATTAAAACAACCTCAATCTTTCTTGCCAGAGATGACCACTATTGACATTTTGGAACATTTTTCTTCTGTGAACATTTTAACCCAATAGAGCTTATACTCCTCCTTAGGCATAATTTTATACCTTATTAATTTCTTTTTATAGGAACATTGCCTCTTAACCAAAATTTTAAATTATGATATTAAATACCAAGTTTACCTAAACATTTCCCCACTATTGTACTTTTAGGTTGTTTTCTATAAATGGTGGTATTTTTGTGCATACCTTTTCTGTTTTATTTTATTTATTTTTTAGTTTTTGGCGGACACAACATCTTTATTTGTATGTGGTGCTGAGGATCGAACCTGGGCTGCACGCATGCCAGGTGAGCGCACTACCGCTTGAGCCACATCCCCAGCCCCCTTTTCTGTTTTAGATTTCTTTCTTAGGAAAGGCCATTAGAGTTCTGGAGATAATTTGGTTTTCTCCAAATATTATTTATATCCTTTAAAACATACTGATTTGTTTCGACTGAGTCCCTGTGTCCTTTTCCCCTCCTTCCAAATTCTAGTTTAAGTAGAGTGAAAAAAGTAGAGGAGATAAGGAAGAGGAAAAGAAATATATCAAAAGTGGACAGCACTGGGCAGGAATCAGTGTCAGGGAAGCTGTTATGTGAATTTTCCCTTCTCACCTGACTATTCCCAGGGACTCCCCCATCTATCTCCCTCTCCCTCTCCTGTCTTTCTCCAGAAGCCTCTTATATCTCCTCTAGGAAACCACTCAAGAATAGAGAATTCTTACCATAACATTTCTAGGTTCTTATATTTTGTCTCTGTAAAAGGCTGTTTTGGTTGCTTCCTCTTTTCAGTCGATCTTTGAACATTCATGTCATAAACAGACTGAGACTCTTTCTGGCTCAGGAACACTTGCCTCTTAGAAAGTTCGTTAAGGTTGTTCAAATCTGAATTAGAAAGAGCGTAGATGGGTAGCTGCTGATATGGAAATCTTCTCTCCTCTTCATCTCTGCATTGTCCCCTTTCTTTATTGATATTCAGCATTGAGTGATATCCAGTAGAGTTTTTATATAATACCCTTTCAAAAGCCTGCTTTGGTGGAGCAAATATGTTGGAGGTCACTTTGGGATCCTGGCTCCTAAATGCTCTTGAGTCTTGTAAATCATTGTTAGAGGCGTTTGTGAGCACAGTTGATCCATGCTTTACTGAAGCATCTATAGGCTGATTTTGGTTTTGTTGCTGTCTTGGAATGTCATTCTGGTTTCCTTGACTGACAATGAGTTCTTTGGTCATGAAAGACTTGAGGCCAATCTGGCGTTTATGCTGTCTCCGAGCTTTGGGCTTGGCTGGTCTTTTGGATGGTTGCTGGCCGCTGGCGATTTCAGAGGATTGACTTCTTGGTACATTGCTTGATTTTGTACCTTCATATTGAGACCAGTGCTCCTGGTAAATCTAAAAAGATGTTGTCAATTAATGTAAAATTATAAGATTGGTACTCTTTACACATTTTAAATTAGTGTTTTTAACTGGGAATTGAGACTTTGATTTATTTTTTTTGTACCAGGGATTGAACTCAGGGTTGCTTAACCACTGATCCACAATCCCAGACCTTTTTATTTTTTTATTTTGAGACAGGGTCTTGCTAAGTTGCTTAGGGTCTTGCTAAGTTGCTGAAGCTGGCTTTGAAACTGTTATCCTCCTGCCTCAGCCTCCTGAGCTGCTGGAATTACAGGTGTACGCCACCATGCCCAATAGGAATTGAGACTTCTGAGAAGGTGACCATGAAATTGAAAACAGATAAAAGAGTACAGAGGGTCCTTTCCTAACTTCAGGCAACTAGAGGTAAACCGGAGTGATTCTTTCAGGAAAAAAAAATTAGATTATGAGCCTAGAAAGAGATCAAGAACTTGAATGGGCTTTGTATTAATGACAAATCTTTGACTTAAAAGCCATAAAGGGAAGTGTTACCAAAATCAGGTGTGGGGTGGGAAGAAGCTTTATTGCTAAAGAGTTGTGCAGGAAAAGAGTAGAAATCTACATCAAAATAGGCAAGCTTATTTTAACTAAATGAATATTTCAGAAATCCTAACTGGAAAAACATCAGTGATATGTTTTATTAACCAAATTCAAGTTTAATGCGAAACACTGGATTATCAGCTTTTCTTTCTCATACAGGTCAGAAGCTAGAAATGACCTCTTCACCAGATGAAACAAATTAGATTTTATTCAGAAGATTATAAAAGAGTCTGAGCTGTGATAGGGCATCTGTGAAACCACAAGGGTTGTTTTGCTTCTGTTCCTTAATATAGCCTGTACTTAGGCAATCAAACATCTGGGGGGAAAGATTTCAATTTCAGAATAGTCTTTATGCTTTTCAAAGCCTGGTAACAACAAAATGTACTCCCAGTATAATAGATACACTATGCAACTATACTGTGCTACATCCATTTAGGAATATTTCCCAAGGAATAGAGCACTCATTACTTTGTGAAAAATTGGCTGAGTTAAGAGGTCTTTGGAAGGAATGATTAAATGCTTACTGAAAACAATAAGATGACCATATGCATCAATGTGTCATACAATTGCAACTTATTTCTCCCTTTCTGAACACACATATTTAAAAAAACCTCTGTGTCCTATATCTACACAATATTAATTGAAAAATTAAATAGTTAATTAGATCACTGGAGAAGAAAACATACTGAAGTGAGTAAAGCATGCTTTTTGTTCAAACCGTTTCAGTTTACTACAGAAGAATAATAACATTATTGTGCTAAGGGTTCTTTTCTTATTTCACCTTTCTGATACAGCCCCTAACACTCATCCTGTTCCTTTATAATATTAAGTAGTATTTCATTTCTAATGAAATCACAGTATAATGATAAGCTTAAGATAAATTTAAAACAGTAATATGTACTATGGTTATATTGATTTTTAAGTAAGAATGACTTCTAATTGAAAATTTAGAATATTCTCTTTGGAATTTGAGCTTTCTGGGGGAATTGGTTATATGCTGATTAGTTACTATAAGCTTTTAATTTTTTACCCATGGTGTTCCATAAAGAGAAAAAAAACTTACTCCTATGTTTGGGTAAGTAAGCGTTCTTTCTTCCATGAAGCATATTGAGCTGCATGGGGAAATATGGGCCAAAAGGCTCTGAATACAAAACCCAAGAGCGTCCTTCCTTGCCCTGGCTCCAGAAGAAAACTGCTGTTTTACAATCTTATGGGGGTATTTGTGAAATACACTGCTCTTTTCATTGCTGTCATTGCAGTTTATGAAGGTCAGGACAGCCCTCGCTCTGCTATGATCTCTAAATACTAATTGATGTTGATAATGTCATTCTTTTCAATGTTTGTTCAGCCTTTAGCTCACTAGAGAAATAAGTGACTAGGAACTCTTTTTCTGTTACCATCTGACTGTAAATCTCCCAGTCTTCCCTCCCCATCCCCACCAAGGAAAAAAACCTATCAGAAATTTTCATTTCTGGGCTACCAGGTCCCGAATCCTGGGCTGTCACTCGACTTTGACTTTAATCATGTCGTTACCTTTGCTGCTAATGACTTGGATCACAATCACACTCTTCACAGGGTGCTTTGTCAACAAGGCCAAGGACTCCTCATTTTATGAAACTTCAGTTGTCTCAAGTGTTAAATCCTCTGTTCAAGTAAATATAAGTGCTCAGAGATGGTATTTCAGTCTCCAGAAAGGAAGACATTTATGGGCTTGATATGATTTCTCTCACCTTGCAAGCAGCCTACTTGAGATCTGCAGTTTACTCAAGATTTATTACCTTACAATTGAGGCATCAGGTGTCACTCTTTAGGTGGCAGGACCTGAGCTCCCTGACGTTAATACACAAAGCCATTCTCAGGCTATTTAATCTCCATCAGCACTGAGATCCCCTATTTCATCCTACTCTCACTGGGGTTCTTTTGTTACCAACATTTGCAATCAGTACATCCTATATGCACTCAGAATAACTGCTTAATGGCAGTGGGTTTTCACAGCACACACAGAGGGTTAGCACTGGGAAATTTTGATGCCTAATGCTGGGAGGATAATTTCTTGGTAAGACCCATCCTTAGTCATTAGTGTTTGTTCATACTACACCATCCGAGGGAAGTTTGCCCCCAATCCTGTGAAAGCCATGTCCGTCCAAAGTAGAAAGGAGAATGTATGCTCTTATCCTGACCAGAAAGTCTATCTGCTTTAACACAAAAGCCACTCCAGCTCTGGGTCACCTTGTCTCAGCCCTAGAGTCCTGAGAGTTGTACCTGAGCTCCTAGATCAGCTCAGGGGTACAGAAACTCCCATAGTCTTCTGTTTTTCTGCTGTGTTCATTAACAATAAGACTCAAATCCCTGAAGCTTGAGTTAAAAATTCCTTCTGATAATATTAAGAAAATTATGAGCACAGATATTAATTGGCTCTAATTTTCATTGTCAGTAAGAAAGAACTCTGTTCAGATGCATGGAAGAAGCATAGAACTATTTTTTCCATTTGCTCATTATAATTTAATACAAATTGTTACTTTAACCAATTCCCCAAGAATACTGTTATTTCCTCTTATTCTATCTCACTTTTTGTCTTATTTTTATAGTGCATGTTAACAGTTCATATATTTTAAATCTCCATGGTTTTGCTTCTATTGGTTTGCAACACAATCTTTTGTTTTATTTATCAATATACTTATGCTTCCTGCTCTTTATTCCTCCTATATTAGTGTTTCCATCTCACATTGTTTTTCTTCTGTCTGAAGAATGATCTGCCATTTTTTCAGTGCAGCTCTGTTAACATGTCCCTTTTAGTTTGTTCTATTCCAACTCTCTTCTCATCTAAAGATTCCAATTTGATTGTTCTTTACTTTTTTTCCCTCCTATGATTAGGATGCGATTAAACTAGGACCTCATGCATGCTAGGCAAGGGCTCTACCACTGAACTGTATCCACAGACCTTTTAAATTTTATTTTGAGACACTTTCGAAATTGTCCGGGCTGGCCTCAAACTTTCAATCCTTCTGCCTCAGCCTCATGAGTTACTGGAATTATAGGTGTTTGCCACCCTACCCAGGTCCCCTGACAAAGATCTGTTGGAAGTGCTGAAGGCAAAACTGAAATCACAGCTCTTTGAATGGTCCTACAGGCTCCCCCCCCCCCGCCCCCCCCCCGTACTGGGGATTTAACTCAGGGGTGCTTCACCACTGAGCCACGCGTACCCAGATCTTTTTATTTTTTATTTTAAGACAGGGTCTTTGCTAAGTTGCTTAGGGCCTCACTAAATTGCTTAGTCTGGCTTTGAACTTGAGATGCTCCTGCCTCAGCCTCCTGTGCTGCTGGGATTACAGGCATGCGCCACTGCGCCTAGCCTTTCATACTTTTTTTTTTTACCTTTCCCTTATTTGCAGCTGAGTTATTTTAGAGTGGCAAGAAATAAAATATCCTATTTCAGCCTTGTGAATGCTTTACCTAGTTGGGAAACTTTCTGTTCTTTCTCCTGACAACATATTCATCACCCGATATTATGGTTTGGATGTCTGTGTCTTCCCCAAAATTCATGTTAAATCTTAACTGCCAAAGTGATGGCATTAAAAATGGGGCCTTTTGGAAGGTGACTGTGTTTTGAGGGCAGTGCCTTCCTGATGGGATCAGAGCCCTGTGAAAGAGGCCCAAGGGAGTTCTTTCAACCTTTTCTGCCACATGTGAACACTGCAAAAAGGGACCCATAGATGAACCAGGAAGCCCTTACCAGATGAACCTGATGGCTCTTGACCTTGGACTTTCCAGCCTCCCAAACTGCAAGAAATAAATTTCTGTTGTTTATAAGATGCAGTTTATGCTTTTTAAATAGTAGACCAAACTAAGACAGCTGGGAAGGATCTTCTGCCAGTGGGAGAGTGCTTCCTTTTATTACCTGGCATGGGTCATGAGCTAAGTGCCACGTTCAGTCTGGGCACACCACTGAAACGCGGCTTGCAAATCCCATGACGACTCACAGGAGAAACTGGGTGCAGTGGCACATGCCTGTAATCCCAGCCTCAGGGAGGCTGAGGCAGGAGGATTGCAAGTTTTAGGTCGGCTTTGGTGACTGAGTGAGACCCTTCCTCAAAAAAAATAAAACTGGGCTGGGGATGTACAGCACATGGTTAGAGTACTGAAAAAAAAAAAAAAGAAAGAAAGAAAGAAAAAAAGGATTCCCAGGAAAGCACGGAATGATTCTGGACAATAAGACCTATGTGGAAGAGTGAAATGATAAGGGATTACTTGGCTTGAAATAAAGATTTCAGGCATGTACAAGAATCTCACATAAAGAATGATGATTGTTCTTTTGCAATATTTGCAGATAAATTTTGGTGCCCTATGATGCCTCCTTCTGGGACAGCCCAGATGCTGTCATTTCTGGGGAGACTCCTCAGTCCTCTTAGGGCAAAATTAGGTGCTCTTTTAGTTTC